GGAAGCTGAACGGGGGTCAGTATTTTGTCGAAACCTCGTTTGATTACTGAAGAAAGGTACGCAGCGTTTTGACCAAAATTGTCCAGAATCACTTTATTAAGCTGTATTCTTCATCTGCGCACAGATCTCAAACAACCTTGGTGTAAATGCATCGACGAAGAGGTTGAGTAACCTGGCTGTCTCTGATCTTCTTGCTGGGGATGAATTCCTGGTTGATCGTGATGCATATCGATATTTACAAAGGTAAGCATACAAAAAGGTTTCTTATACAGTAACAGTATGTGTCTGTATCTTTGCACCTTACAAGATGTCCGTTGGTGTAGTTATGAAAATGCCGCAAGTGTTCATCACTAACTGTCTTATTTATCGCGAAGTATTTGTACAGTTTCGAAACGAAGGCTTACAATCGAATGGTCAGTTACGTTAACCTCTACAATATTCGCGGGGATTTTGACGGTTTTGAAGGCGTCCACTCGAACAGCTTAAACTCAAGTGGTCTGAAAGTGACCTTATACCCCGGGAATTACAGTACTACCTAAAATATTCAGGTTCAACTTCACACTCTTTTGTTACCAATTGCCACTATAAACACCATCACAACTTCAACAACAACCACAACCAAAATCATACGATCTTTTGAATCCTTACGAAATGTTTAAGTATGATGTTTTTCCCCGAATCCAAACAATGATGATGACAATTGTTAAACGTCCAATCTTCCAATGATATATGGTGAAATGCAAATGTTTATGATCATTCATAATTTCCTCAGTCTTTGTTTACTTTGTGGCCTAACCGTGAACCAACGCGTGCTTCCCGCCTGCAGACTACGACTGTTCGTCAAGTCTGTTAGACGTACCGTTAACATATCTAAATTAAAGGGAAAGTGTCTCCTAAATTAAAGAGTATGCTGTGAACTCACCCTATTACCTTGAAATAAAAAAGAAAAATAAAACGTCAAAATTGGTGAAAGCAAAGAAATATGAAGTAAAAAGAAAAATCACTAATCTACCAGGATGGCAATTTTGATTTCTCTACATCCTGTCACAACATCAAATTTCAATTCGTACCTGTAATCCATTCCTATCCCTGTAATGGTGTACGTCTTACCTAAAATACATGTTCTAGTAAGCTGCGTAGAATATCTTTCGAGTTTCTCTGTATATTTGGTGGCATTTACCCAAAAAATTGTATGGAAATTAGTATAAGACAGAGAACTTTCGACAACCAGAAGGGACACTGTTACCACGGTAACATTCTTTTCTTTTCTTTTTTCTTTTTTTTTTTTGTTTCTATTTTTAGACTCCACGGAGCACTGATTCATAGAAATGAACGGCAAATTAGCCACATTTGCAAATTGCTGATCAAGCATTTTGATTTTGATCCCACAAATGACATCAAAAGGGACTTAGAAAAGGCCAACAAAGAGACATTATTAAAATCCGACTTGTCAGTCATCTGCATGTATGGTTTGGACCTGTCAAGAAAGAAAAACTTGAAGAAGCTGCTCGCCCTCTTGTCTAGGTGCCCTAAAGTCAAGAAGATTGAATTAATGTTTTGTACACTAAACCACGAAATTGTTTTGAAGTTTTTTGAAGCAACAATGAAACTGGAAACCCTTTACTTTTTGGGTAAGTAACTTGAGTCTCACAAGATCAGGAAAATTATTTCTTTCAGGGACCATGAAACATTTTGGACCAGATTTGTAAAGAAATCAACCGCAGCGGGCCACTGCATTGAACATAGCATATTGTGTGCGCCGGTGTTACCAAACGAACTGTACGGTTCTTTTGATATTGAGACGAGTTTCTCACAGACGGCAAAACATTTCTATGTCACCTGGGTGTTGTCCTTTTATTCCCGTCCAAATCGTTGCTTGGACTGCTATACATGATAAATGCGAGTCATAAATGTCGAAAAAATTCCCTTAGTTGAGGGTATGTAGGTTACAAACGACTGAAGAGAAACCACAATTTTGATTGACACAGTTGTGTAAGCTTAACAAACGAAAATCTTGCAAGATTATTCTGAATACAGTATGTACACCACGTAATTAATAGAAAGCTGCAAACTGGTTTTGTGTCTTATTCTTTACAGGTTTACGTGGTAATAGTCTTAATGTGAAATCTGTTTACAAGCTCCACCGCTTGTTAGAAGAACCACAAAACTTTCCCGCATTAATGTGGGTGGACCTTCGAAACAACTATAGAATTAATACCATTCCTGGCCAGTTTGTTCAGCTCCTAATGGAGCGGAGAAAAACACATCGTCCTTTAACAAAGACAGCAGACGAAAACGCGTCTATCAGTGTTCAAGATGCCATTAATGGGAAAGTAGTTTAAGAAATTCAAAATCATCGTTGATCTTCATATCTCACATGATTGTAATGGGCACGTGCCATCGTTAGACTATAAATTGGTCTGTAATGCGTACATATATATTTGAACTGCTATTATATCTCAGTGACCCAACAAGACAGCACGACTCTAATGAAATCGTATTTCAGAGTTGTTTCCTGTTTTTACGGCACCATTTGAACTGGAGGAGTTCGTGATTATAATTTCTGAAACTGTAAAAATAACATGTTGGTGTTTCTTTCGGTATAATGTTCTTGAAAACGTTCCAAAGGTCAACAGTACAAAATGCTACTTTTTACATTATTTGCATTCAGTGGTCAAATTCACGAAAGCAGGTGATGTTTGACACAGATTAAACAACCCTATGATTTTCTTCCCTACAACATAATGTAAAATAATTCTGAAAACTGTCGTGTCAAGAGATTTTGCATGTTTACACTGATAGAAGCAACCACAGTAAAATACACAACAACAACCGACTTCTACAAGAACCAAAAATATTATGACCGTATTCTTATTCATAAACCCTTTAATGTAAACTACAAGGGGAGAAAACAAAGGGTTTTCTGTACAAGTACTTTATAACATTACGTCGTAGCCTTATGAATAAAACTAAACCCTAGAATACCACAGAATAGCCACGCCTCTTAATGCCTGGCTAGGAGAAGTAGTCAAATTAAATACCTCATTAACGCCGCTAACAAAAATATGAAGAGTTTTGGTCCGCAACCAAACTTTCAAACATTACATCTCTACTGAAGCTTACTGAAATATCAACGTGTTCGATAAAGCTTAGTAAGTGCATTTATTAATACATTTTAACAAATTCACTATAGTCAATCTCTCCATCTCCATCCACGTCAAGCATTTCAACTAGTTTGTCAAGGTAAAAGTTACTCATTACTTTCAACCGTTTCATTCCGTCAACGAATTCCACCCGAGACAAACTGTCCCGGAATTGGCATTCGGGATCTAAACGTTTAAACAAATCTGAGGCGTGAATCTTGTTTTTGTCCAAATATATTTTAAGGAAATCAAACGGATCTGCCTCCTTTTTCTTGGTAACAAACGAGTCTGTCTTTTTGCATCCATGATGGACAACAAGACCTGTTCTTTTTTTCAGAACTTTTTCAAGATGAACTTCACAATCGTGATCCAACTTAATGTCTAAAATCTTCAAGACTTTCAATGCTGGAGCACCGCTCTTAAGCAACATCTCCAGTATCTTGTTGACGCCTTGACAAGCATTGAAAATCAAATTGTGGTTTAGATTCAGCACTTCCAATTTTTCGCTACCCTCGAGCCCCTTTGCGATGTTTTTAAGTCCTTCGTCCGAGAGTCGATTGTTGCTAAGATTGAGCTCTTTGATCGTTGAATTTCGTTTCAAAGACTCCCCCAACTCTGTAGTACCAATGTAATCAAATCCGTTCCAAGAAAGATCCAACTTTTCCAGCGAGTCATTATACCGCAGGCTCTTAGCAATGGCCTCAGCTCCTTCCCTTCTTATATGGTTCCAGCTGAAATTCAGTTCGAGAAGCGAGTTGTTGTAAGTAAGAGCAGTTCCGAAAGAAACTCCTGAGGCTTCAGAAAATTTGTTGTTACTCAAGTTCAGCCAATCCAAAGAGCTATTGTTCTCGACGCCCTCGGCCAATAGCACCGCGTCTTTGTCTCCTAGTCCGTTCCCGGACAGATCTAACCTTCTAATCACTGTGTTATTTGGCAGCGCTTCTGCTATGGCGATGATACCTTCCCTTTTGATATTGTTATTTGCCAAGTTCAGCTCAGTAAGAGCTCTGTTCTTTGACAGCACTTGTCCAATGTAAATTCCTCCCTTGGTATTGAGCTCGTTAAACGCCACGTGCAACTTTGACGTCGTCTTGTTTCTGAGGAGAACGGAGGCAATCGCTTTAGTTCCCGCTTCCTTGAGAAAACGATGGTTAATCTTGATCTCTTCCTGACCAATCTCGTTCCCAAATCGAGACACTGGGGTGACTCCTACTGTGTCACAAATCTTAAGGTAGGTTTCTCTTTCTGAATGGGCCTCGTCATCATCATTGTTATCATCATCGGAATAGTCATCGTCTTCAAGGTCTGTATCCCAATGAGAGCTGGTAAAGGACTGCGTTTCCTCTTCCTCTTTGACCCTCTTTTCAGTTTTAAGAAGAGCAAGGGTGGAATCTACTTGCTTTATTGTGCTCGAGGCACTGGAACAGGCTGAGCGTAAGTTCTGTGTTTGATTGTTAGAATGATTATCGGTAGAATGTCGTCGTGGCATGTGTACAATCTGAAAGTAAATGCGTTTGACTAATGATTACCAAATTGAACTCATATACATTTATATATATGAACTGCCAAACAAAATTGTGAAGTGTTCATATCATCCTCGAAGTTGTGATTTCAAAATTCTGGGTTTCGGCGAAAATTGTATGTTTATCATGTACGTTTAAACAGATTTGGGGCATTTTTTGTAAACGATGCTCTGATATATAAACGTTCGTCTCTTTGATGCTGAGTGCAGTTTAGAAAATAGTGTAAGTAGACTTGCGACGACTCGGGAAGTTTTGACAAGATAAACTGACCGATTGAGACGCTTCGCTTCCTTTCAATATAGTAAACTAATAAATTTTCATCTCGTGGTTTTGAGGAATAATTTAATAGTCTTCATTAATGGACAAATTCCTGAAACTTGTCTTGAAAACTTAAAAGGTCTCTATCACTTTCTGCTTCAGGTATGAAATAATGAATAAATTATAATCAAAATTACTTAACATAAGAGAGAGAATGGTCTTCGATTACCAGTGAGAAATGTATACAATGCATTTCTCTCACCTCGGTCATTTCACTCAGACTTCACTTAAAACTGGAAAGTGTCGATATTGTTTAATGAGAAATCATTTGAGTGCCTTGGCTTTGTTTATTAAACATGTACACTCGGCTGCAAACATCAATGTAAACAAAACGCTTCCTCCAGGTGTCACCGCGTGCCAGAGTATTTGAATGTAAACGTAACACAGTTAAAACACTGCTCGAAAGAGTACTTGAAAGAAACAAGTAAAGTTACCAGAAAGAGATGCAATGTCTCTTGTTCGAAAACTGTTGGCTTTAGAGATATCGAGTGGAATGCATTTGACTTGAAGAAGGTCTTTTGTCAAACTCGCAGGGTTTTTTTTCGCGGAGGGGCTGATCACGAAAATTCAACAAACTGAGCAACCATTTCAGGAAGAGAAATCAAGCTAAAAAGGCCTGCTGAACTTACCACATAGCTAAGGTTTTTCCTCAAGTCTAGACGATCTTAAAGATCGCAGTGGCAAGCTCTCGGTCTTGACCGTTGCACGGTGTATTCGGCTGATATGATAAGCGCGCAGTTGCTAGGCTGATTTTTGGCTCGGTTAATTACCTTGTATAAATCTCGACTCATTGTAAGTAATAACATTGGGATTAGTGTCTTTTGTAAGGACGTCTCCGGAGAGAGAAAAGTGTAATTAATTCTGTAGTCTATCTGAGCTTAGCTTCAAGTCTCTTAAACGAATGCAACACGTTTTGTCTTTTACTCTGGAAATTATATTAATAACAGTTGTGCCTAGTGAGGTAAATTAATACGTATGAAATAGACCATTTTCAGATTCCAATTCATCAGTTATCACCATGATGATAGATNTTTTTTTTTTTTTTTTTTGTTTCTATTTTTAGACTCCACGGAGCACTGATTCATAGAAATGAACGGCAAATTAGCCACATTTGCAAATTGCTGATCAAGCATTTTGATTTTGATCCCACAAATGACATCAAAAGGGACTTAGAAAAGGCCAACAAAGAGACATTATTAAAATCCGACTTGTCAGTCATCTGCATGTATGGTTTGGACCTGTCAAGAAAGAAAAACTTGAAGAAGCTGCTCGCCCTCTTGTCTAGGTGCCCTAAAGTCAAGAAGATTGAATTAATGTTTTGTACACTAAACCACGAAATTGTTTTGAAGTTTTTTGAAGCAACAATGAAACTGGAAACCCTTTACTTTTTGGGTAAGTAACTTGAGTCTCACAAGATCAGGAAAATTATTTCTTTCAGGGACCATGAAACATTTTGGACCAGATTTGTAAAGAAATCAACCGCAGCGGGCCACTGCATTGAACATAGCATATTGTGTGCGCCGGTGTTACCAAACGAACTGTACGGTTCTTTTGATATTGAGACGAGTTTCTCACAGACGGCAAAACATTTCTATGTCACCTGGGTGTTGTCCTTTTATTCCCGTCCAAATCGTTGCTTGGACTGCTATACATGATAAATGCGAGTCATAAATGTCGAAAAAATTCCCTTAGTTGAGGGTATGTAGGTTACAAACGACTGAAGAGAAACCACAATTTTGATTGACACAGTTGTGTAAGCTTAACAAACGAAAATCTTGCAAGATTATTCTGAATACAGTATGTACACCACGTAATTAATAGAAAGCTGCAAACTGGTTTTGTGTCTTATTCTTTACAGGTTTACGTGGTAATAGTCTTAATGTGAAATCTGTTTACAAGCTCCACCGCTTGTTAGAAGAACCACAAAACTTTCCCGCATTAATGTGGGTGGACCTTCGAAACAACTATAGAATTAATACCATTCCTGGCCAGTTTGTTCAGCTCCTAATGGAGCGGAGAAAAACACATCGTCCTTTAACAAAGACAGCAGACGAAAACGCGTCTATCAGTGTTCAAGATGCCATTAATGGGAAAGTAGTTTAAGAAATTCAAAATCATCGTTGATCTTCATATCTCACATGATTGTAATGGGCACGTGCCATCGTTAGACTATAAATTGGTCTATAATGCGTACATATATATTTGAACTGCTATTATATCTCAGTGACCCAACAAGACAGCACGACTCTAATGAAATCGTATTTCAGAGTTGTTTCCTGTTTTTACGGCACCATTTGAACTGGAGGAGTTCGTGATTATAATTTCTGAAACTGTAAAAATAACATGTTGGTGTTTCTTTCGGTATAATGTTCTTGAAAACGTTCCAAAGGTCAACAGTACAAAATGCTACTTTTTACATTATTTGCATTCAATGGTCAAATTCACGAAAGCAGGTGATGTTTGACACAGATTAAACAACCCTATGATTTTCTTCCCTACAACATAATGTAAAATAATTCTGAAAACTGTCGTGTCAAGAGATTTTGCATGTTTACACTGATAGAAGCAACCACAGTAAAATACACAACAACAACCGACTTCTACAAGAACCAAAAATATTATGACCGTATTCTTATTCATAAACCCTTTAATGTAAACTACAAGGGGAGAAAACAAAGGGTTTTCTGTACAAGTACTTTATAACATTACGTCGTATCCTTATGAATAAAACTAAACCCTAGAATACCACAGAATAGCCACGCCTCTTAATGCCTGGCTAGGAGAAGTAGTCAAATTAAATACCTCATTAACGCCGCTAACAAAAATATGAAGAGTTTTGGTCCGCAACCAAACTTTCAAACATTACATCTCTACTGAAGCTTACTGAAATATCAACGTGTTTGATAAAGCTTAGTAAGTGCATTTATTAATACATTTTAACAAATTCACTATAGTCAATCTCTCCATCTCCATCCACGTCAAGCATTTCAACTAGTTTGTCAAGGTAAAAGTTACTCATTACTTTCAACCGTTTCATTCCGTCAACGAATTCCACCCGAGACAAACTGTCCCGGAATTGGCATTCGGGATCTAAACGTTTAAACAAATCTGAGGCGTGAATCTTGTTTTTGTCCAAATATATTTTAAGGAAATCAAACGGATCTGCCTCCTTTTTCTTGGTAACAAACGAGTCTGTCTTTTTGCATCCATGATGGACAACAAGACCTGTTCTTTTTTTCAGAACTTTTTCAAGATGAACTTCACAATCGTGATCCAACTTAATGTCTAAAATCTTCAAGACTTTCAATGCTGGAGCACCGCTCTTAAGCAACATCTCCAGTATCTTGTTGACGCCTTGACAAGCATTGAAAATCAAATTGTGGTTTAGATTCAGCACTTCCAATTTTTCGCTACCCTCGAGCCCCTTTGCGATGTTTTTAAGTCCTTCGTCCGAGAGTCGATTGTTGCTAAGATTGAGCTCTTTGATCGTTGAATTTCGTTTCAAAGACTCCCCCAACTCTGTAGTACCAATGTAATCAAATCCGTTCCAAGAAAGATCCAACTTTTCCAGCGAGTCATTATACCGCAGGCTCTTAGCAATGGCCTCAGCTCCTTCCCTTCTTATATGGTTCCAGCTGAAATTCAGTTCGAGAAGCGAGTTGTTGTAAGTAAGAGCAGTTCCGAAAGAAACTCCTGAGGCTTCAGAAAATTTGTTGTTACTCAAGTTCAGCCAATCCAAAGAGCTATTGTTCTCGACGCCCTCGGCCAATAGCACCGCGTCTTTGTCTCCTAGTCCGTTTCCGGACAGATCTAACCTTCTAATCACTGTGTTATTTGGCAGCGCTTCTGCTATGGCGATGATACCTTCCCTTTTGATATTGTTATTTGCCAAGTTCAGCTCAGTAAGAGCTCTGTTCTTTGACAGCACTTGTCCAATGTAAATTCCTCCCTTGGTATTGAGCTCGTTAAACGCCACGTGCAACTTTGACGTCGTCTTGTTTCTGAGGAGAACGGAGGCAATCGCTTTAGTTCCCGCTTCCTTGAGAAAACGATGGTTAATCTTGATCTCTTCCTGACCAATCTCGTTCCCAAATCGAGACACTGGGGTGACTCCTACTGTGTCACAAATCTTAAGGTAGGTTTCTTTTTCTGAATGGGCCTCGTCATCATCATTGTTATCATCATCGGAATAGTCATCGTCTTCAAGGTCTGTATCCCAATGAGAGCTGGTAAAGGACTGCGTTTCCTCTTCCTCTTTGACCCTCTTTTCAGTTTTAAGAAGAGCAAGGGTGGAATCTACTTGCTTTATTGTGCTCGAGGCACTGGAACAGGCTGAGCGTAAGTTCTGTGTTTGATTGTTAGAATGATTATCGGTAGAATGTCGTCGTGGCATGTGTACAATCTGAAAGTAAATGCGTTTGACTAATGATTACCAAATTGAACTCATATACATTTATATATATGAACTGCCAAACAAAATTGTGAAGTGTTCATATCATCCTCGAAGTTGTGATTTCAAAATTCTGGGTTTCGGCGAAAATTGTATGTTTATCATGTACGTTTAAACAGATTTGGGGCATTTTTTGTAAACGATGCTCTGATATATAAACGTTCGTCTCTTTGATGCTGAGTGCAGTTTAGAAAATAGTGTAAGTAGACTTGCGACGACTCGGGAAGTTTTGACAAGATAAACTGACCGATTGAGACGCTTCGCTTCCTTTCAATATAGTAAACTAATAAATTTTCATCTCGTGGTTTTGAGGAATAATTTAATAGTCTTCATTAATGGACAAATTCCTGAAACTTGTCTTGAAAACTTAAAAGGTCTCTATCACTTTCTGCTTCAGGTATGAAATAATGAATAAATTATAATCAAAATTACTTAACATAAGAGAGAGAATGGTCTTCGATTACCAGTGAGAAATGTATACAATGCATTTCTCTCACCTCGGTCATTTCACTCAGACTTCACTTAAAACTGGAAAGTGTCGATATTGTTTAATGAGAAATCATTTGAGTGCCTTGGCTTTGTTTATTAAACATGTACACTCGGCTGCAAACATCAATGTAAACAAAACGCTTCCTCCAGGTGTCACCGCGTGCCAGAGTATTTGAATGTAAACGTAACACAGTTAAAACACTGCTCGAAAGAGTACTTGAAAGAAACAAGTAAAGTTACCAGAAAGAGATGCAATGTCTCTTGTTCGAAAACTGTTGGCTTTAGAGATATCGAGTGGAATGCATTTGACTTGAAGAAGGTCTTTTGTCAAACTCGCAGGGTTTTTTTTCGCGGAGGGGCTGATCACGAAAATTCAACAAACTGAGCAACCATTTCAGGAAGAGAAATCAAGCTAAAAAGGCCTGCTGAACTTACCACATAGCTAAGGTTTTTCCTCAAGTCTAGACGATCTTAAAGATCACAGTGGCAAGCTCTCGGTCTTGACCGTTGCACGGTGTATTCGGCTGACATGATAAGCGCGCAGTTGCTAGGCTGATTTTTGGCTCGGTTAATTACCTTGTATAAATCTCGACTCATTGTAAGTAATAACATTGGGATTAGCGTCTTTTGTAAGGACGTCTCCGGAGAGAGAAAAGTGTAATTAATTCTGTAGTCTATCTGAGCTTAGCTTCAAGTCTCTTAAACGAATGCAACACGTTATGTCTTTTACTCTGGAAATTATATTAATAACAGTTGTACCTAGTGAGGTAAATTAATACGTATGAAATAGACCATTTTCGGATTCCAATTCATCAGTTATCACCATGATGATAGATGTATCTCATAGAATTTGCCATCACCCCCTTTTGTCATTGCCACTTAAAGAGTGTACATCTAAAAAGTGCCGAATTCTTTAGTAATTTACATCAATGAGCCAGTAAAGCAATTAATAACAATTCAGTATCTATGCTACTCTATGCAACGAAAAGGAGTCAACACGAGATCAGCTCGATAAGTTCTTTAATGAAAGGCGATATTATTTCTGTTTATTTGGCTATTTGCAGTTATCGAAAGGACCTAAAAGTGAATCAATTCGGACGCGTTTCCGTGACCATAAATAATCGTACATGAAGTCGGTTCGTAAGAAACCATCTTAATATTAATATTGAGGAACTGACAGACTCTCAGTCTGAAATTTACATGCTAAACCGGCTTAAAAATGATCTCATGACTATCCTAGCTACTCGGTTTAAGTTTTGCTGCTGATAATCATGCAGATACATGTTTATTGTTATTTCCATACGACATGGTGTTTGGGTTACAAACACATATAACTTAATCATTAGAATATATTAGTGTGTACCTCAACGAGTCCTTCGATAATGATGGCCAAAACATTTGCAAACCGGCGCGCACGTACAATAACTGGGCACAACCTGTTTTCCATCAGACATTGTCGTCGTATCAACAGTAAAGAAATGTGGCCGGTGCGACTCAGTGGCACATTTTGATCATGCCTTCCAGGATGAAAAACGCAAACTAAAGTAAAGTATATACATATACTTTGTAGCATAACAACGTAAATTGCCGTAATCTTTATTTACACATTGCATCTTGAACGACAAGTAGAAATTAATCTGATCGTGGCAAACACGAATTTTTTCTGTAAACTAAGGGAATTCCTGGCTATTGTTTAGAGAGAAGATTGGATACCGCTGATGTTTCGAGTGACGGTTCCCTTAAAGTTTTCCCTTAATCGTTTTAACGAATGATTTTACTTGACCAACGACTCAGTGGAAGCGCCATCTCATGTAACCAACTGAAGTCGCGACATTCCGAGTCAGGGTGGCAGAACACTTCTTAAGTTAACGTATTTTCTTTTTGCTTTCTTCTGTGTTTCCTTGCAGTTGGTTTGTCAATACGATATCTCTTATCTTCTCCAGCGGCTTGCGCTGCCCTTGCCCCTTCCGCAGTCTTGGCCTCAACGGTGATTGGTCCGAACCCTACGGGTGAGTTAATAAGCGTCTGTCCGTCAGAGCTAGGAACTTCCTCTGTGGAGTACGATCCTTCCTGGGTAATTCCTTCGTGTCCTATAACTTCTGGATGAATTCCGTCGAGGTCTTCATCCTCTCTGAAGTTGTGTAACCGCCTTCGGTATTGAGGTCTGTGAAGAATACGCCTTGTGTAGGTCGGGTAACCAAGTCTGAGAGGATGGCGAAAAAGAGATCTGTCTTGAAGTAAACCCGGGGATGAAAAGCTTGCAAATGAGTTCAAATCATTTCCTGGACGAGAAAACGCGTTTGAAACCAGTGGCGAGATAAAACTTGAAGGAGCTAAAGATGATGACATCATAGATGATGCCAGTGGTGATGTCATCCGCTGCGATACCGCCGGCGATGACCTTTCGGCCAAGTTGGTACCCAGGTTAGCCATGGGTGTCACCAGAGATGACGTCATATAGCGGAGTGGTGTTGAGTCCAAGGAGAGAATATTTCCCAGTGACTGAGGTCCTGCCATGCTTACCTGCTGTTGTACGCCTGACGGCTGCATGCCCACCTGTTGCTCCATGCCTACAGGCTGCATCCCTAATGACTGACGTGTAAACGGCTGCTCCTGTAATAGTTGCTGCTGAAGTTGTAGCTGACGTAACTGCAACGGTTGTGGCGGTAAGACTTGCTGAGTGAACGTTGTTTGTAATGGCTGTAGTTGCTGTAGCGATTCCAGGGTTGGTGTCAGCACCAGCTGTCGTTTGTAATTTTGAGACACGTCGTCTTGTAATAAGTCGTCCACACTGTTTGAATCTTCAGCGGCTAGAATTGGCTCAACTAGAGTTTGTCGCTTGACTTTCCTTTTGTCTTTAAAGTGCTCTTGCTGGTGTTGTTTCTTGGCTTTCTTTTCTGAGGATCCAGGGACCTTGGATCTGCTCACCACTGGAGACCGTCGCATTAACGAGGAAAGGTCGACATACCGCGCCAAGGGTTGTTGACCAATCAACGACCCCCCTGTAGAAAAGAATTATATATTACTTTTATAAGGAAATGTACTGAGATATTCATAATCGCCCAATGGTTTATTTACTGACATAAAGAACCGTGCTCAATGCCCGTATCTCGTTTTCTTTAACGAACAATGGGCTTAAAATTGAATTGATATGCGGAAATTGTTGATTCTTTCAATCATTTAGCTGATTCTTTCAATGTTACTAGAGGAGGGATGTAAATTTTATACTCGCTTTCTCTCTCAACCCCATAACGTTTTCCTATTTCATAGTCCTCCTCGCCCTGAGTTTAATTTCATCTTCGCTTCCACTAGCGGCTTTCGGCTTTCTATAAAGAAAACCACGGTGCTGATTGACTATCGAAGCGTATCAGCCGATCACTCATAGCTTCGCAATGTTTCCATATAGTTATCTTGAGGAAATCTAACGTAGCCATCACTTGTTGGCAATAAATGTTCTCATAGAATATATTAGGTAATTTTGATTCCCGTCATTCGGGTCACGTGATGAACACTTAGTAGATAATTCTCGCGCGACGATCCCTTTTGTGCACCAGTGATGACACGGTAGTCACGTGTTCCACAACAATGAAAATGTTGAAAAGCTTATCCAACCACACAACGAATGAATGGAATTGAAGGCGTTATGTTTGAGGTCAAGGTTACAGGTAAGTCTCACTCGTTTTAAGGAAAATGATAAACGCATGAGAGACATCAACAATTAATACTGACTGGATTTACAATTTATCAAAAAATGGGGTTCTTTCCAGGAGCTATGAATTGCTTATATTTCATTTTGTAAGCTCTGACAATATTTACATGAGTCAAAATTCAACAAAAGCTGCACTGTATATAAGTTCAGTTTCTGGCAAACATACCAAGTAATCCATTGGTAAGGGGAAGAGAACTCTGTGCGCTGTATGGCTGAGCCAATGGCGAAGGGATGTACGTTCTTCCATAACCCATCATAGCACCTCCATACTGTGTTGCTCCTAGGTAAGATGGTACCAAACCCAGAGCACTCCCTTCTGCATTCACACCTGGTGTGCCTAACGCATTACCATAATCCAAGTCTCGCAATGAATTCAAATTTCTTTGTCTTAAGAGCGAGTTATATAGAGATGTTAGGCCATTCAACTCACTGTAGAGCCTCTGATAGCCTCGTAAGATATCAGAATTATCTCGGTCTCTTGAGGAACCTTGTGAAGGTAAAATACTTCTTGACAGACCTGACTCTTGTAGACTTTGTTGGGGGGTGAGCTGTGAGGGTAGTGCAAATAACCCTGCTGTTTGAGGACTTTGTCGGGCACCGTAAGCTCCAAGTCCTGAACCAAACAGAGCATACTGAGGTAAGGCACCATATCCGTAACTTCCGTAAGCATTTAGGCCTCCTGGAGAAGACAGCAACGACGGTTGTACAAACTTAGGAACCGCAGAGATAAATTGACGCTTCCGAGATTTGGAGCCCCTCTTGTGATCACTTGTACGCGGAATATCCGACTTGTGTGTTCTGACTCCGGTTTCATCTTTGCTCGGTCTGGGAAACCTTTGTCGCTTTACCCCGTTGTAAAACCAGTCGTGACCGAACGGACCGAACGGTAAGTGGTATCCACTATGGTAAAACATAGCTGGATGATGATGAATGACCGGAGGAGGAGCATAGTGCTGCGCGAGGTGAATTGCTGGGTGAAATATTGGAATCGCTGGGGTGCCAGGCTTTGCCACAACTTGAAGAGACGCTGGTTTGGCGTTGACTTTCACTCCAGCAGGGTTGGCATTCACTTCAATCTCTGCGGCTTTGTCGTCGACTTGAAAATGCGACGGTTCACCAGATTGAGTCACTGTTCCACCATCTTCAGGAAAAGGTCTTGGTCTAACGCGTCCATTAAAAGCGAACAAACAAAGAATACACACTGTTACCCGAAATCCATCGCCAAAACAAAACCATATCATGCTTGTACGTTGGTAATAAATATTGACGCCCGTTATTTTGGTTTAGAAAAGAAAAACATGTCTATTCTTCAATAAAATGAAACCAAAACCGAAACCTTGTGGTTCACAGATACTTTGCGGTGAGATCATGAAAATGGTAAATAATAAATAACTTTAACCACTATATCAACAAGTGGCTCAATTCTTTCGAATCATTTTCTATCATTGTTGCTATAAACGCCATATTACTAAAGCGATGGGCGTTTCTCTGCCTTAATAGTCGATAAGGTAGGTAAGACTTTGGTCGAAAATAACAATTTGATGCGAGATCAACAAGAAAGAGGAGTTAAAAACGTCGATAATACTACAAATCAAATATGGAAAACAACAAATTCGAGTGTTTGTCTTAAATTATTCTAATTTTGTTGGACCTAACTTTAATTGAGTTCCCATGTCTTTGGGTTTGATAACAAAAAATAGGAACAGAGAAACTAGCGAAGCCGGGTGGTTTCTGTCACCCATTGGCTAAGGTTGTCGTCATGGCAATTTATTTTCTTGAGACAGATCGATAAAGGCGGAGCGCCCAATGGGAGGAAGGAAAAAGCCGACTTTCGAACGCGTAACAAAAATGAGAAAAGCGTCTGCACGGAAGGTGGAATTCTTCGACCAGACCGAAGATTAAACCCTATTTTCTAGTGGTCTGTTTATTTCAATTATCATTTCTTCGTTAAAACGCACTTAACGTGAGCTTAACATTGACTCTAAACCGCTGATTCAGAACGGCTGAGTTTCTTTTGAAAGCACAGCCCGTGTAATGTAAATTACTTGCAAGATTGATACCTCACTAGTAATCAATCATTTGCATCCCTACGCACCAGTCCGAGTAGTGGGTTAACTTCGGATAAAGCTGAAGCTTCAGATTCGAAACATTTTTAGTTTAATAACTCGTTTCATTTCTCGTTTGAGCCTAAATGCCTTAAATATCCCCAAACCTACGTTACTCGCGTCTATTTACATTTGAGCAGGATACCCTGCCTTAAAGCCAAGTCCACTTTAGTTTACTAGCAAAAACTGTCCGGCACGGTCATCATTCAAGCCGAATTAAGCATGTTCGGCCGACGCTGACATTGTGATATGCGATTCTTCCCGATGTGTTTCAGTTATTAGCCTAGGCGATTTATATCTCTCTTAGTCCTTTTCATCCCGAGTGAAACATAAGGCGTCAACGATCTGCTACCAACTTCGCAGCATGTTGTGCCTGGCCCCATGGCAAACACAAGTCAGGCGCTTAATATGATCATTTCTAACCGTCTCCTCTCGTATCGCCGACGAGTTGTTTCGGAATGGGGAATCCGTGGAATTTCTCCAAGCAAACTCTTTACTGTGGGAAAGAATGAGCCCTATAAAGCTAGAATATTACTACATGTCGGCTGACCTGGCCAATTGTGCCCAAGATTAATAGCAAGTGAATTGTCAAAGGTTTAAACGCCTTGTTATTCCGAAACATGTCTTACTGACCCTTCCTAAGAGCTAATAAACAGACTTAAACATTTCAAAGGTTTTTTCTTTTTTTTTTCGTGAACGCGGAAAGCAGAATCGGTTCTAGCGTACAGCACCATACTGGCAAACTGGCAGAAACTAAGGATTAAATGTCAAATATATCTTTTAGGGAAATGTTAATCTCTAGATCGCTTTAAATGGACGTTCTTCGCGGTGAAGTAGCAAAGAGTAACGATCCCGATTCCCCAAAACTACAAAACAATTAATTTTCAAACGTGCAGTTTTTCTTACAGGGGAGGGGGCGGGGGTGGGTGGCACCATAAACAAGAAACCACGTAAATTAAGGTTATTCCTTTAATAAATTCCCCATCATGGAGGGAGTAATCAACGGAATATAGACACGGGTAAACCCCTCAAAATGTTTCATAAAGGAGAAAATTCACTGAACAAACCAGCTGGGAGCAATTATTTTCACAAATCGTTAGTTTTATTTTGACAATTGCTTAAAACAAAATGAGTAACTTTTTTTTTTCTTCGGATAAAAATCATTTGTGAGGTAACCGTCCTTGAAGCCCATTTTCGGCTCTGGTGCAGTCTCCGACACAATAAAGCAATAAGGTGTACTACACACGTGACACATTAACGTGGGCGTCTGTCTTGTTTCATTCAAAATGTCAACATGTCAATCTCCGCAGGGATTTACAAAATCCCTTTCGAGTCTTTGGAATCGCGTAAAAATCATTCCATTGATAGTAGAGCATCTCTAAATATGGGGACCACTGCTTGGCACTTTGAAGGACCCCATTCTGAAAACGAAAACAAAATACTATTGCTGGTCATACAAATTACAACAAGTCTGTACAAACATCAATCTCAGTGAACAATGGTCAGAAGTTAAAGGACCGTTTCGTAAGAGAGATGAATGTCAAAGCGTAAGTTTGTGGGGTCCTGTAACAGTTAATTAAAGTAGCATTTTTCAGTAGTTCTCGTCAAAAAACATATTCCCGTCCCACTGAAAAATGTTGTTTACAATGTTAATGTTGAAGTGGTATCCGAGATAGAATGATGGCACGTGTTCTACTACACTTTTGGTCTCTTTCAAATGCAATACGTTTTGTTGACGCAATTTACGAACAAAACACAACATTCTCGATAACTGTCCTATACCGTTCCAATTCGCCTTTCAAAATCTCCGATAGCATTTCATTCTTTTGATATCCCCACTAAATGAAATTCAAATTTTCCATTATATGAACTGGGTAAATTGTATGGAATTTTCGTACTGTTTTTCAGCTTTTCGGTGGTTCACTGTTTGGTTTCTACTAAAATAAAGTCAAGAATAGATATTTCTGACAGGAAAACGATACGCAGCACAGAAGCACAAAGAGAAGCGATTCATTACTAATCAACCTGCACACTTCTAAACTAGACCAAAGCCACTGAAGCGATAGATTGACCTGTTCCATAAAATAACATCCACGTATTTTAGAGAGAGAGAGAGAGAGAGAAAAAAAACAGTTTTCCGTTGAAAATAAAACAAAACAAAACAAACAAACAAACTTGAAATGAACCATTTCAAGAATAGATTATTTTCATATAGACGTTTTTAGAAAAAAATATCGACAAGGGCTGCATGAGGGACGAAAAAATCCCTCATACCTCGACCGTAAAGAGCGCGTGAATAAGTTTCAAAGCAAAATGCCGTTACTGAGCAAAGTAAATGTAACTATTGCTAGTGAATTTATTGTGATTTATGGATAACAAACGCCCGTCCTGCAATGTCGGCTTCATTTGCTACATGTACTGATTACTTATAACTATACAAAGTAGAAATATTCACATCCAAGTCTTTTTGTCGTTGCATAAAATTGTTTACCTACCAATTCGATACAGCATCGAATTTTATTGTCCTGGTCGCGGAATCTCTGTTTTCTTGACAATGGCTGCATTTCTTCCACTGTCAAGGGGATTTCTTGTGAGGTAGCCTCTGGTTATCTTTCTAAGCCGTCCAGGGATGAAAGAACGGGGAACAGTCGACCTAGCCTCTTCTCCACCGAGACCGCCCGCCATTGGTGAACCCATCGATCCACCAAGACCCGCAAGACCACCAGGAAGCTCCTCAGGAGCCGGCTGTCCACCAAGACCACCTAGACCTCCAGCGTCAGAAAAGCTGTTGGCCCCCATGGGGGAACCTTCGTTCCCACCAAGGCCTGCTGCACCTCCGAGACTTGCTCCCGCAAGGCCAGCAAGGCTATCAGCACCAGGACCCATTTCTCCTCCTTGTCCGCCTTCTGAGAACGAGCTTGGGTTGAATCCCTCCCCGAAGGCTTTCGCAGAAAGATCGCCGAAAGCTTCACCTGGATTACCACCTTCCAAAGGGCTGCCATGACCAGCAGCCAAATCGCCTAATCCTGCAGGACTTGCCCCTCCGTGTTCGTTTGGATGAACAAATATTACTGAGTCACCATTGGGTCCAGAGTTAGCGTTGGAGAACATTTGACGCCTTAGCCTTGTGGAAGCTTCCTCAATGGATCTTGTACTGACTTGCTTATCTTCCTCTGCTTTTGGCGTCTCACCACTATCTTCTTGTGAATCTCCACTTGATTCCTCTGTCGCTGTTTGCCCTGCTTCTGTATTTGCAGTAGGTTGCGTTACATCTGTTGCCTCTTTTTGCGGCTTTTCGTCCTCGTGCTCTGCTTCTTTATCTCCACTACTCTGCTCAGCTTCATCCTTGACAGTCTCCGCGGAGCTCTCTTTTTTAGAGTCCACAGCCTTAGCTATCTTTGATCGCTTCTTCCATCCACCATAAGGGTGCACAATATGAGGCTGGTGAATGACAATTGGAGGACGATGATAGATTGTAGGTGGAGAGGTGACATGCACAGCTGGGAAGTGATTTCCAGCGTTTATGATAGGCACAGGAGGCCCAAGATGGACAGCGGGAACATGGGGACGTACATGAATGGCTGGGACATGAGATGGGACATTTATAACTGGAACATGTGGACCAATATGGACTGCAGGTACGTGAGGCCCAATATGAACCGGAGGATAATGTGGACCAACGTGAATGGGTGGAGTGTGAGGTCCTACATTCACTGTGTGGGGAAATGGATGCCAACCAAACCACTGACGTTTGACTTTCTGTGCTACGATTTCGCGTTTTGATTTCCCTTTATGCTTATGAGATTCACTCTCGTCTCTTTCAGAATCATCATCACTATCATCATCGTCCTCTTCTGCATTTTCAGGTATTGTGGAGCGTCCAAAGTAACCGGGTCCCCCAGCAAACCCACCAAAGCCTCCATAGCCTCCATAGCCTCCATAGCCTCCAAACCCACCATATCCGCCAAAGCCTGCGGGATATTGAAAGTGTGGTTGATGGAAAACAATTGGTGGTTGATGATATACTGTCGATGGCGACATAACGTGCACCGGCGGACCGGTGAGCGCATTAACGGCGTGAACGGGCGGCGTCATATGAACAAAAGGCACATGTGGCCTGACGTGTAGAAGGGGTGCGTTTGTTCCATAGTGAAGACTTGGAACTCGAGGACTAAGATGAACAGCGGGCACATGTGGTCCAATGTGAACCGGAGGTGCGTTTGGTCCAATATTCACGGGCGGACTATGCGGGCCCAACACTGCCGTGTGCTCGTATGGATGAAAACCTTGTAAATGAGGGTAAGCAATAACTTGAAGCTTTGAAGGTTTGGCTTGAACTTTTACTCCTTCGGGATCAGCATTCACAACCAACTCCGGCGGTTTTTCATGAACAGTGTAACGAACGGCATTTTTCCTTGGGCTTCGTTTACTTTTTGCACCTTTCGTTAAAACGCCGGTTGAAAAACATAACAATACTACCCCTAGCAGACATAGCCATAATCCCCGAAAGGCCGCCATATCGGGGAAAAGTAAACTTGTAAACAAATACGGCCTTGCAGATTCTGTTTAAGCGCAATAAGTCAAAACACAAGAGATCTGTCGATGGTCTTAGTGGTCAAACCGAGATTACTTCACTCCCAGGGAATTTTTTGCTATGATTTAATCTTTTATCATCTCATCGCACGTGGCAATTAGTTTTCACGGATCAATAGCAGTTTATGGCAGCGTCACATCATACAATAAAACCACCGGCGGTTATTTTCAAATAGCAGGTTTATTTAGGAATATGCTATTCTTACTGGAAGAATGGTGTTCACGCTAATCAACGAACAAAAAATAGATTAATAAATTTTTCACAGGACGTTTTCCCAGATTGACTTCCGTGTAACTACGAGTGTAAAAACCAGGTTAATTACACCAAAAACATAGAATGTTCACGCTTTTTATCTGGCCAGTAGTAAATTGGTTAACATCCTGGCAAGTGATAACTTTCATTAAAGACGACAGTGACAGATTTATAGATCTCTTCCACTCTCCGCGATGTGCGTTAAAATAATTAAAAGTTGTCCAACCTTATCTCCTAATACGTCTCAAACAAAATCTGCTGATAAAACTCTGTGCTCGTGCAAGTTAACCTAGACATTGAACTAACATCAATAGCTTCTTGCATGGTTCATTATCCACAAACAATTGAAGACCAAACAATTCAATTTCGTGTTGATGTTTTTCTTTTCCGAGTTGTTGTGACTACTGAAGCGAATTTCTGTGGAGAATAGCAAAACTGGAAACAATATCGTTCATTACAAATAGAAAATACGTCCACACTTTTAAACGAACAAAGTTAACAACCAAGGTCACCTTGTATTTCGTTCCGAGCACGAAATAACGGCAAACACCGAGTAATAATATTAAAAAAAAAAAAAACACAAGAAAAACGAATTAAAAAAGGCAAAGTTGTCACCACAAAATTTATGTACCAAACATTAGAGCTAAAATCAACGAAATTGCTTCTCTTAGAAACATAATGCAGGAATATCTTAACAGTAATTGGTCTTCTAATTTCCAGATTACAAAACAAAGAAATAACACAAGGATAGGCACAGTCGCTTGTGAAACATACCTGTCGCTTCAAAACGATTTCACAAAATGACCGTTTTAAATACATTTCTTAAATCAGCAAACATCACATAAAGGCAAATTATCATAATTGTTTTTTTATTGGTTTTCTGTGAAAGTTTAGACGAATCGCGATAAATACAAGACATAAAGGGACAAACAATAATACACAGGTACCAACAACCATTAAATTTTAAATCTTCTATTGCGAGAAACAAAGTTCTTCCCGGTGAATTGTTTTAGTAAGGGGAACACAATTGAAAGGATTAAGTGTCCAAACTGTTTGTTTTTAAAAGAAGAAAACATTGAACTGTAGAACCCGATTGAACAGAAGACAATCATCTTGGAGACAGTTAGCTACTGCCCCCTACTCTTGAGGCCCTGTCCACGCTACGCCGGAGAAATTTAAAAACGCAACAATCACCGGTCGCTTTGGATTTGTGTTTGCGGAAAACTCGGTCAGGAAAATCACACGATTATCGTGACAATATCGTTTTGGAAAAGCTCCGTTTTCAAAATGAGTTCCGTCTACGCGAAAACGAAAAGCTGGGCATGGCGTTTTCAAACCTCCGGTTTGAAGAGCGTTTTCGAAAAGCTCCGTTTTCGTGACGGATTGTGTGGACGGTAGGCCTAACCGAAGAAAGAAAGCCGCGTTTTCAAATTCCTCCGGCGTGGTATGGACGCTGCCTTAGATTTTGAACTGGCGTTCTTGATAACCATGTATCTTGTATAGGTAAGCACTACAGTTTTACGACACAAATTTACTTTCGCGCATTTGACCAGTGTTTTACCTATACAAATGCATTAAAGTACAACTCGTCTTGCTAGTGCCTATGTTCTAGGAAGTTTCTTCTCGCCGTTTCGTTATTGTCGTTACCTGCGCGCTACCAATTACATCGTTATTTTAAGGAGAAATTAGATGCCGATCACTATCACTTGTGTGTTAAGTGTTAAGTTGCGCTGGTGACCGTATAATTAATCAAAAGGCCTGTTTGTATATGTTGGTCCTATCATATTGTAAATCATTAGTCAGTGAGAGTAGGTCACTCAAAGTACTCGATTAAGTTCGAGGAAGGAAAAACGTCTTATCAGTCATGTCGTAATAGTTTCATATATAGGGCCATAAGGGAGACTACAGTCTTGACGGTAATTATGCACCCTATTGAAATAAAGTGTTATCATCATTATCGTTTTCATGAGCTGATAGAACTGACAATTTTACGATGATAAAGCTGCTCCAAGTCCATGATCCCGAGAGCATTTTCTTTCGTTAACTAATTACCTGCTACCTCAATGTTGACAGAACTGTTTTACACGGGCCTTGTACGAGTAGAATATTACGCACACTGTGCAAGCTTTCTGTTCAGCTGGAAAAAGTGGAAAGAAATGATCGTTTGTTGCTATTCTAGCCAGATAGTATCATTTTCCGCCAATAGACCATATTCGTATTCTCTGTATTGGACTGGAACTAGCTTGCAATGGAGGCTCGTGGCGGGGAATATCATTAAAAAGGGATAAATGCTATTTGCATTTGAAACGATTCCCCGCATTAATATTAGCCTCAGTTGCAAGCTAGTTCCAGTCCAATACCGAGAACACTGATATGGTCTATTATGAAACGTTAAAACTGCTGAAGCTGAATCTCATTTTCTGCCACCTTCAAGCTTTCAAAGCAACGAGTACAAACTTTCAGCTTCTCCTCGGCTTGGGTTAAACATGTTGGATGTATATAAAACTGCATTCTACTTATTTAATCATAATCTCATAGCTCGTTCCTCTTACTCTTAGGAGAGAACATCAGATTCTGGTAAAAATTTGTTTTTACACTTCCTCGACGGAACAGAACCGTCACATAGATGGGTTAATTTTCTTGACGGAACAGAACCGTCACATAGATGGGTTAACTGTCTAGTTAAATTCTTTTTAGTTACAAATACCCGGCTACAATATATTCCCAAAGCTCAAGAATATAGTATTACATGTCGTTGTCTTAATTTTTAAAAAAAAGGTCAAAGGGAGGGTGGTCGGAGGGAGGGACTTTCTGAATCCTCATTCTAGAGAGGGTGGGGGCTATATACATGTATGTGTTTTGCCATCTGATAACTCCGGGTAAGAACCACTCTAATCAATTGATTTTATTTTACAGCACTTACCAAGAGTGCAAAGTGTACATCTTAATCAAAGGCAACGATATCGGAATCTACCACAGAAACAGCTCCGGTATTTATATAAAAAAATCATTTGGAATTTTGTAATTTTTTAAATTAATTTTATTGGGTTATTGGGTTAACCATCGGGTTATCGGTCACCATGCAGTGAGAAAGCAAGCTGGAACTCGGATCTGGCAGACAAAGGTTTGAGCCCCTGGTGCGTGCTCGCGATGTATCCTATCCTTTGGCAAGGTACTATACTCCACCTGTGTAAAGGGACACTGGCAATTTGGACATGTATTCCATTGCTGGACAATTCCCATCCTTGACAAGGAGAAACGCAACCAGCCACTGGTTAATGCGCAGTAAGAAATGAAACCTCAGGTATTGTTAAGGATCAAAAAGCCAAGTTTTAAACATACCGGAAGACAACATATTGTATCATGATCGTGGCTTAAACATTACAGAAAGAAAATTGTATTTCACACACGTGTACGGAAGGTTTCAAGGGCAATCAACCTAACAAATGTTATAAACTAGGAAAACTCGTGGTCAAGCCTTTTGTGACAAACAGTATTACAACAGAAAGAGAATGATGATGATGATGATGATGATGGTGATGGTGATGGTGATGNTACAAAGTAGAAATATTCACATCCAAGTCTTTTTGTCGTTGCATAAAATTGTTTACCTACCAATTCGATACAGCATCGAATTTTATTGTCCTGGTCGCGGAATCTCTGTTTTCTTGACAATGGCTGCATTTCTTCCACTGTCAAGGGGATTTCTTGTGAGGTAGCCTCTGGTTATCTTTCTAAGCCGTCCAGGGATGAAAGAACGGGGAACAGTCGACCTAGCCTCTTCTCCACCGAGACCGCCCGCCATTGGTGAACCCATCGATCCACCAAGACCCGCAAGACCACCAGGAAGCTCCTCAGGAGCCGGCTGTCCACCAAGACCACCTAGACCTCCAGCGTCAGAAAAGCTGTTGGCCCCCATGGGGGAACCTTCGTTCCCACCAAGGCCTGCTGCACCTCCGAGACTTGCTCCCGCAAGGCCAGCAAGGCTATCAGCACCAGGACCCATTTCTCCTCCTTGTCCGCCTTCTGAGAACGAGCTTGGGTTGAATCCCTCCCCGAAGGCTTTCGCAGAAAGATCGCCGAAAGCTTCACCTGGATTACCACCTTCCAAAGGGCTGCCATGACCAGCAGCCAAATCGCCTAATCCTGCAGGACTTGCCCCTCCGTGTTCGTTTGGATGAACAAATATTACTGAGTCACCATTGGGTCCAGAGTTAGCGTTGGAGAACATTTGACGCCTTAGCCTTGTGGAAGCTTCCTCAATGGATCTTGTACTGACTTGCTTATCTTCCTCTGCTTTTGGCGTCTCACCACTATCTTCTTGTGAATCTCCACTTGATTCCTCTGTCGCTGTTTGCCCTGCTTCTGTATTTGCAGTAGGTTGCGTTACATCTGTTGCCTCTTTTTGCGGCTTTTCGTCCTCGTGCTCTGCTTCTTTATCTCCACTACTCTGCTCAGCTTCATCCTTGACAGTCTCCGCGGAGCTCTCTTTTTTAGAGTCCACAGCCTTAGCTATCTTTGATCGCTTCTTCCATCCACCATAAGGGTGCACAATATGAGGCTGGTGAATGACAATTGGAGGACGATGATAGATTGTAGGTGGAGAGGTGACATGCACAGCTGGGAAGTGATTTCCAGCGTTTATGATAGGCACAGGAGGCCCAAGATGGACAGCGGGAACATGGGGACGTACATGAATGGCTGGGACATGAGATGGGACATTTATAACTGGAACATGTGGACCAATATGGACTGCAGGTACGTGAGGCCCAATATGAACCGGAGGATAATGTGGACCAACGTGAATGGGTG